GGAGCCTTCAGGTGAAGTGCAAGTATCAAGACCCACAGCTCGGTGGTTAAGGTGCTTGTTTGCCAGCAAATCCGATTTACTAAGTCCCTCTCTAGCTGACAAAGGCCTCTCCTTCCCCAGGAGAAGGGGCAGGGATGCAGCCGGCAGCGTCACAGCCCCAGCTGGCTGAACTTCATTGTGCAACAGGAACCAGGGTTATCTGCTGCCATCGTTCCCTGGTGGGGTGATGTTTACTACAACCACTAGATCGATCAGCTTGGGTTTTGGTGGGGGTTTTTTTGGTTCCAAACAGCTACCCGCAACCCTCCAAAGCGCCTCACGTGTATTTCTCAACAGACTCCGACTCAAATCAGATCAAATAAGTACAAGCTAAAACCAACACAGCAGAGGGACACCAACCAGAAGCCCTGTCCAGGCATGTCCCACTCCTCCAGCCTTGGCACGTGGCTCTGGGCTCGCTGCCCACAGCTAAAGATGACACAACTCCTTGTGAAAGGGTGAGGATGTCCCAACCAAACCTGAGCCTCACCTAAAGAACTCATAAGAGACCTTCCAAAAGGGCTGTGGGGGGAAATTGCCTCCAAAGTCTCTGGTAGCACAAAGAGAGCCCACGTTGGCACGCTGCTGAGGTGACTGGGCTTCCCCAGGGGTAAATATCTCAGCTGGATGAATACATGTGACTTAACACACGCAAGAACCATCTATCCCCTGAACTACCAGAAGTCTCACTAAGATGGAGTCTATAGAGGACATAGGAGAAGGTCAGAAGGATCTTTACAGCTTGAGGAGCTCGTGGTGTCCAGCATGGCACTCACCCCTCTACTATGAGAAAGAGCAGGGCAAGATTTACTAGAAATGCAGACCAAGCACCCATGAAAAGAACAAGACTGTTCTCTGCCACCAAGTAACCAAAGACACGTGCCTAAGCAGGATAAGGAGTGGACCTAAAGTGTCTGTGTGTGCACATACACGTCTATGTTGTACACACACATGTATTTTAAGTCTTCCAATTTAGCTTCTCTAATCCTCCCCAGAACCTGCTCCAGCTATTAGACACACACAAGGGTAGACAGTGTTGGGAGTTAGCGGCAGCTTCGACTCAGGAATGCATGTGAACCTTCATGGCAAGATGTAGGGGGGGGGACTGGGAGCTCAGCACTACCCCAGCCCCCTCCCCAGCAGATCCCCACATCACCTCAACTGCTTTCCTATCGCTAAACCATTGTGTTTTCCTCTCTGCTGTCTTCTGACTTTCTGATACCCTCTGGGAGCTCCCTTCTGTCCTTCACAGCAGCTGTCTGACCCTCCCATGCTCCAGAAACAGCAAGCTACAATGAGCAGGGCACTACTGAAGCAGAAGTTCATGCCCTCACCCTCGAGAGCCCTGCTGCAGGGGTTGCCTTTGCTCATCAACAGGAGTGTATAGAACAGCAGAACTGATGTGCCCTGCCAGAAATGCACAGCATGAGGTGTGTGTGCACGTACACCACACACACATACATACAGAGTAAATATATACACATGAGATACCATATATATATCTCCAGAGAGATGTGCGTATTCAACGGAGGAACGGGAGACAGTGGTACAATACAATTTATTGCCTCTCAAGAAATGGCACGTTAAGCTGGGGGTGTTACTGAACAGCATCATCCCAGGATGGAGCGGGATGCACCCCATGCGGGTCACAGCTAGTGTGCAATGCATGTTCTGGAGTGGGAGGGATGGCTGGGATAGAGCAATGCCAGCCTGGCCACAAGCCAGGCAAGGAATGGCTCCAGGGAGTAATTTTCTGTGGAAAGCCATCATACCAAATTTAGTTCTTCAACCCCTTTGAAGCTCTTGGGCTTGGAGTGAATGCAGGTGAAACAGAGCTGTGGCCTCCATTTCAGTGCTGCATCTGAGGAGGAAAGCATGTAACATGGAAGGGAGAGGTGGCTGCTGACTCCCTGGGACCATAGAGAGCAAGAAAAACGTGGTCCCTTTCACTGATTTTAATTAAAATCAAAAGAAATTTGAATCAGAAAGAGGTTAAAATGCTGGCTCCTCTGTTGTTTTCATCTCTGGGCTAAACTACATCAGACGTTCAGATCTTTGCAAAGGGGAGAGAAAAATAACCACAGAATAAGAGATTTCAGGGGTCAAACTGGTCAAGGGGTCAAGTGAAAACACTGCAACGAAGTTTGCAAAGTAGTCCACACAGAAGAGTTTCCCCAGTGTTAAAATACAAGCATAAAAGATGTCAGAGAACATCTCTGCTGAGGTACCGGAGTAGTTCCCACAATTTACAGATTACAGTATTTTTAAAACCAAAGTTAGGGCATGACTGCAACGAGTAGTTGGGCTTACTTTTAAAAAATAGAGTTTGCAAACTGATTCAGAGAGAGTGTTTGCATCTCTCTGGTGTGTTGTTGTTCATGTATCTGAGATATACCCAAGATACATTCAAATTCTCAACACCAAGGGCCTCCTCATACACCTCCAAGGCACAGCCTGAGCCTGACCCATCTGGCTACAGCTGCATAATGGGGTGCTTCCCCTTGAGATCAGGCTGGTTTGGGACAGCTTTCCTTCCCCCACGTACACACAGGGACACACACATTTAGACCAGTTGATCTGAATCAGTTTTTGCAAACTATTTTAATTAAAATATTAACTTGTTGGAATAGTCCAGGTCTGCACATGATATACATGTAAAAATGGTTACTACACAATTCTTTTTGAATACAAAAAAAGCCAATACGGGATAGCCATCATTTGGATTCAGCATTCAGTCATGCTCAACATTACACAAAGAGATGGGTTGAGAGAATTCTGTTGAAGTAGCTCAATTTAAGCCAGAGACTTTGACCAAATTCAAACCGTAACAGAAGCAAAAGAATGAACCCACTGAACTTGCAGGTATAGCCTGTCCCCGCTGCCGCTGCTGCTGTTTGTGACAGAGGAGCTGCACTTCCAAACGCTGTGTTAGCACCATGCTCTGGGCACACCCTCTACACTCCCATGGTAAATCCCAATGCAATTCTGGCCTTTCATTTCACTTTTGCCTGTCTTTCTAACCCCAGGAGAACACAGGTACATTTCCTATATCAGTTTCGTTGCATTTCAACAACACTGCAATGCAAAAGAATGACCCCAAAACATCCAATTCCACATATAAACATAGCAGAGGAAAGAACAGGACAATTCACAGTCACCACTTGCTCCGGGAGAGCAACCACAGTCACCTCCATGGGACCACTGCCTCATCCCAGGCTTCCATCAACTGTTAGTACTACAAAGCTCCTTACTAAGAGGCTGCTCAAACATGTTTTGGTGGAGTTTCCATCTTTGATTCAAGTAATATGCTACGTCAAGATGCTAGAAATCCCAGTTGGATTCACCGGACACTGGCAGAGAGTTAAGGATTGGGAGTGGATGTTAATTTAGCTAACGAAAGAACGTCGCCCTGTCGAGTACAGAACAGCAGCGAGACACTAGAGTAGTTACTATATAAATATGTCACATGGACAAACACATTCGGAAAACCTCGCTTTTGAGCCCTATAAACATATTAAAGGCAAATCCTAGAGTTAGCAGCTAGTGTTTTCTTCAAGATGATTAGTGTGCAAGGAAAAACATTTACAAAGAACCCTGGCTGGTCAGCCCCCCAAGACGGACACCTTTGCCTCAAGCAAAACTTCATCTACCTGCTCTTTCCCCTCACCCCACAGTGCTGGCTGACCCAGAGCTTGCACTGGCACAAGAGCACGGGGGCATCTCCAGTTCCCAGCACTAAGGGATGACACGATGCCACCAAGTCACTCGGTTAACAAGACTCCCTGACCCCTTTATCGCCGTATGGATTTCACAACCTCCTTTGCTTCCTTTCAGTAGTACAGCAGCTCCAACGAGCCTCTGGAAGTAGTGCCTTCTCACATGGTACGCTGCCAAAATATCACAGCATCTCAAGGGACTGTAAGAGTTGTGAAGTATTGCAGCAATGGAAATAATAAAAAGGAGCCTCACATGCAGCAAGATCTACAGTGGTGATGTGGGTTAGTCATCAGCTTGGAAAGAGTCATTGGCTCAGCTCCTCCTGGTACACCGTGGCAACTAAACATTTAAACAGTTGGCTACACTCTACATGTAAACAGGAAATTGCAACAAGCCAAAAAGGTAATAAATTGGTGGATGTAGTGTAATAATGAAAAACCCGATCGATGGCATTTTGTGACTATGGCATCCTTCAAAATACCTCTGGCATTTGAGATTGACTGGCTGAAAGTCTAAACATTTCTGAATGGAGCAAAAAGGACTACACTGGGCTCCAAGAATTATTCTGATGCTTAGCTAAAATGAGATGTCACAGTATTAGCTGTACAAGTGCATTACTTACGCTCCTCTGCCCAACCTCATCTGAGCTACCAGCAGCACAGTCAGGGAGTGCCAAAGCAGGGATTCAGTTTCAAACACTTCTAAGCCTGTTCCCTCCAGGCACGTTTACCTACACAGCTCTGGGGAAGCTGACCAGTGCCTTCTGAGAGAACATCACTTCTTACATGACATGGAGTGGGCACTTGGGTAGAAGGGCCCTGCTGAGCCCTAGTGTCTCTTGGCCTCTCTTCCCACCCTTCTTCCTCACCTACCAATTTGGAAATGCCTCTTGGTAGAGGCAATACCCTAGAAATTTACCCAATTTAGTGACAAATAAAAAGGGAACAGAAGACCCAGCTGTTCCTCCCCTGGATGTTGGTTTAAAGGCAGCTCGCCTGGTTTTCGCAGGGTGGCAGTTCGAAATTTAGGGACATGGAAGGAGGTCTCCGTTCTCCCTCAGACTTCCTATGGATGGTGTGACAAGGGCAGTCTGAGGCCCTTCTGTCCTGTCAGTGTGACGACCACCAGCCAACTCTTCTGACTAATTGCATATATTTCTCAGACGCCTTCCCAAGACCCCTCCAAAAAGTAAAAAACAACAACAAAAAAAAACCAAAAATCCACCCCCCCCCCCAAAACCCTGCAGCCAAATACTATGACATCCCAGTTAGTAAACACAAAACGTAATGCTTTACAAAATGAATACAATATTCCATGTGCACCCAGCTTCCACACGTCAGCACCGCACTGAGGAGGCTGCTGGGCTGGTGTCTGTAGGCAGTTTCTGTTGGCAGACAGCTCCAGTGGAATTGCCACCCTCAGTTATTGTTTAAGTTATGTATAAGACATGTGTGAACCATTGGATATTTGTGAAGTAACACTTGTGCTCCTGCTCATGCCCTGTTCCGTCCGTCCCCCAGAAGCTGTCCGCCTCAGAGCCTGGGGGCTGTTGCGGACCCCTATAGCACTACTTCGAGGTACCCCCTGCATGGGCCCCGAGGGGTGACCCCATGGCTGGGGTCCACCTTGCATTGGATGGCCCCAAGCTTGTGGTGGGCCACCCATGGGATGACCCCAGTGAGGTCCTGCACCCCCAGTAGGATTGTGGGACCAGCCAGAAGCTCCCGGGTAGCTGTGGCTGAACGCCTCGGGGGAGAGATTAGAAAGAACCATGTTACTAAAACCTAGCCTCATGCTTTCTGAGTCAAAGGCTTCGATCTCGCGAGCTTGACGCTCCAGCAGGCTTCGTATCCGTTCGGTACGCTCGTTCTGCAAGGCCAGCATCTCCTCCTCAATCTAGGAAGGAAAAGAGAAGAGAGAGTCTGTAGCGGCGGGACTCCTTTACAGGCATGGCCTCGAGTCCCTGAAGGGCCAGTGAGGAACCTTCTCTCCCCATGTTTATACGTGAGACTGGATCTAGATCCGATATCCACTGACACACAATCTGTTCTGAAAGCAAAAGGGTAAGTCTCATAGACCTGCACGTGCCAATGCATAGGGAATACCAGTGAGAGGGTCTTGGCCCCTGTTCCCTGGTGAATACAGAAGTTTCAGGGATGCAAATCCAAAGTTTGCACTGATAATAACAGCCTGACATAGATTAATCTTAAAGGATGCAGCAATCTACAGCTTCCATAAAAGCCTACTGGGAAAGCACCTTCAGACACAGCCAAGCACAGTGCCTATGCAGTCAAATACTTGCCAACACAGCTTAATGTGACCTTCGCTGTTTGTAGCTGAATCTGATGACGGTGACTGCTATTTTCTCCAGGATTCAATGTATGAGCCCACATTCAGCTTCCTCTCCAGTGTTCACTGGCCAGATTTCCTTAGCTCATATTTATCACTCCCTATATAAACCTTTCCTAAATTGGTTTCTCGTATTTCATTACCCTGATACTTTCTTCAGGGTGTGTGATTGAAGAAAGCAAGCAGAGATGTTTGATTTGTGTGGCAGATTACTAGCTAGATGATATGCAAGCTGGCAACTCCTATTTCTTCTCCATAGCGCTGTTACAAATAATTTTCCAACAGTACTTGGTAGGGGCACTGGGATCAGCTCTCTAAGTGAAGAAATCATGGAGCTACAGCCTCCTGACACCCATCAGGCAGGGATGAAAGCCGTTCTTATTGAAATCTTTGCAGTCAGGTGGAGAACCAAAGAATCACTCCATTATCTTCTTGCCAGCACTGAAAAAGCTACTTTTGGCCTTGGCGAAAAAGACCAAATGGGTACAAAGCAGCAGCCAAGACTCTGAGCATAGCTCACTGGCATCTCCCCTGCTGTCAGCAGCAATGCGGCCAAGAGGTGTTATCTTGTACTGAAGGTACTGGGCAGAGCGTTGCACTCTCTTGCCTTAGTCAGGGAATATGAAAAGTGATTTCATCTGGAATTTCGGAAACAATCTGCTCCAGCGTGAGTCATCTCCTGAGCCATTTGGGGCTTTCAGAAACTGCCTTATCCACTTGCCTGGGTTTAGTGCTGGGTGAGTGACACTGACTCCACAGAGCAGCCCTGCTCACTCCTGCAGCTAGCTTGGAAAAGGCAGAAGAGGAAGAAGGTGCCTTCTCTAACGCTAGCTCTTTAAAACACTCCACTAGTTTTTTTCCAGTCCTGCTGCCTCAGCAGAATCCTCCTCTTTCAGTGTCTTCAGCAAGTGCAGCTTCACAGTTTTCAGTCTTTGTGACAGCGTAACATGCAGGACTTCATGCAAGTGAACTTCACAGAAAGGCATGCCTAGCACATTGCATTAAAATGATATCCCTTAAAAATGACCTCAAGATGCAGGACTCTGAAGATGAGATGTCTGAGGCACATGGGAAGGAAATGAGTACATCTGAGGTCTTTTAAAGACACTCTTGGGACATGCTCATTACTGGTGCAACACAAACAACATAACATTGAGGTATAGCTTGTACAGTGCCTCAGTCACTGTAGGCTGTGCACTGACGAGGCTGGTTGCTCCCTCCTTAGCCTTAGTCAGACTTGTATGTTTTGGTGAGTTACTGTGGTGATGGGCACCATCAAAAATGTGCCAGGGAAGCAGAGTCCTAGGCGCACACTAATGTCTGCAATCTGGTTTATTATTTAACAGCAGGGACTGACTTTGCCACAGGCTATGTATATACTTGTGCATACAAACTCAGACATTCACCTTGTGCACATACCTGGCCTTTCTCTGCCTGCTAGTTTCAGTTAGCACATGCAAGCAAATACCAGAGCGACAGAGCGACCCACAACAGAATACTCACAACTCCTAATTCTTACAAACACAGAACAACACCTCTCCTCCCAAAAAATACCCCTGCAAAAGAATGATGCATCTACGTTTGCACTCACATTTTCCCTCGAGCTTCTACTAAGTGAATGTGACCCCACCAAGAAACAATCTCATTGTTGGACCATGACTTTGCAACTTGCAACGTGCCAGGACTGCACATATCACTAAATAAATCTTTGGGAGTTGAAGCACCATCCAATATTTTGCTGTTCTAAGGCAACACAGGAACACAAACACATGCAAAATATTATGCTGCATCTTATTTTTATCTGTGAAGTAGCATTGCTAAGCTTCCTATCACCACTGCTGACACCGACTCCTTCGCAGGGGCTTTCTATGCACCAAGACTTCAGTCCTGGTCCGAAAAGACATTATTACTGGATCTGTATTTCCTTAAGTCATTGGCCTCACTTCAACTTTTAACATAACACTACATGCAGTGCAAGATATGCTGCTCCCACAGACAAGGAGCAGTAGCAGGCTCTCTGTGGAACCCTTCGTCCCAGAGCTCTGGGCAGATCATGCCACCAGAGGGCAATGCACACCCAGCAGAAATACACCCTGAAATGCAGGGCTGTGATGGAGCTGTCCTCTTCTAGATGGAGCAAAATAACTAGTAATGGGGTCCAAAGAGCTGTTACACATGTGGGCATCACACAGGAACTCTGTTTTCACAAATCCAATTACTTCCAGAGATCACATCTCCTTGCAGGAGACCAAAAGACAATAGGACTGAACCGTCTTTTCGGGGATGCTTCCTCAGCTGACCGTGAGGTGGAGCAGTTTCATGCAGACGAGGGCCCTCTATCAGCCCAGCATCCATCTGTTAGCCTCTGGGAGAAATCAAGTGTGAGGAACCTCGAGGCTACAGAGTAACTGCCCTAATTTAATAATCGCCCATCAGCAAAGTTGGGAACTGCTGTGCGAATGGCGATGGCTGGCACCACAGGGCAAATCAAAGAGAAAAAAATTTGCGGGAGGAAAGCTGATTGTGTATTTCCTTTCCCTGACTTGATGAATTACCCTTCCCCTGGTCTGTGTAGGCCACTCACGTTTCTATACACACCATATGTCTGGCATTGCACATTAAAACATACTTCAACAAGGAGCACCTTAATACACAGAGCCAATTATAAACTGAAATCTAGGGAGCAGCAGGTTACCCATGCTTGTGGGTCTGGCTACTTGTTTGATGAATAACAAACTTAAGTGTAATTTCACAGGGAAACTGCAGCCTGGTCTCCACAGACTGCCAAATGGAGCAGATCTGCCATAAGATAATGTTACCATAAAACACAGGGTCTCAAATACATTTTACCTTCCTCTCCCCCTCCCCAAAGACACCTACTACTGATACTATGCAAATTCCAAAAGGCCCCCTACCAGCTTTAGGTTGTTATTGTCTGTCGCCTAATGAGCTGGGGAAGGTAATCTGCAGCTCAGAGAGAGAATGAACAGTTCTCTTTCACTCCTGCCCAGAGAGGCACGACTCCCTCTGGCACGCTCCAAGCAGCTCTGTCCCAGCCAGAAGCTGTTCACGCAGAGTGGCTGAGCTGGCAGAAAGTTTAGCCTATGTGTCACTGAGCTATCATCCCGGAGAGGCAAATACCCAAATGATTTGTGTTACTATATACAGCAAGGTAAAAGCATTTTCTCTCTGTATTAAGTACAGTGCAAGTTAAGATCTGAAGCATGGAGCGTGCTAATGATGCTCACATGCCCATTTTACCTTCTGCTCAAGGAGGGCCCGGCGGAGGGATACCCTCTGCTCAAGATCACGCAGCTCCCGATCATGCTGGGCCTCTGCCTGCATCTTGATTTTACTCTGATACGCATTCAGCAGCTCCAATTCTTGCTGCAGCTGCATCTTCAAAACCTGGCACTCTGCTTCCTGTGCTTCATCCAAACGCAGCTGGGAAAGACAGACAATAGAGACGTTTCACTATGGGGTAACCACTCATGATCCTCTGGGGGAGGACTGTGGGGAGGGGGAGAGAATGGGATGGGACTTTGTTTTCTTAGCAATACAATTGGTCTCTATTGTACTTCGTTTCACTGAACAGAGGACCTATAGTGACAAAGACTGGTGACAGTGAGCCCACAGTGCTGAGGCAAGTGATGCTGATGAGCAGCAGCACCTCAGGAACCATGATCCATACTGCAGAGACCAGACTGCTGGAGGTGCCAGTATCTACAGCTCTCCTTTTGCTAGGGGCAAAGAAAAGATCTCTTGCTCTGTTCAACTGGATTAACCAATTACCTGTACACAGGAGACTTAAGTCCATATCCCTGCCAATACAGGACTTCGGGCAAAAGAATGTGATGACATAAACCTAAAAGCAGTATGATACTGAACTTTTAACCTTCCCATACATAAATTAAGCCAGCTACCCTGCCTCACAGAGTCAAAGTTGTACAGAGCGATGTGAGCAGGATGCAATATGCAAGAAGTGCAAAGAAAACTGCACATTCAGTCGTAGCAAGGACATAAAGCACTGCTCATGGGGTCATTTCTTAAAGAAGGCATCTCTTAAAGAAGGAATCACAGAACTTTCACAACACTGTTACCACTAATTCAAAACTCTGGACTCCCCCATGACCCAATGAGCATCTTCCACCAGTGGCACATGCTTTGGTTGGTATCACTGACAAATCAAAACCTAAATGACTTGAGACAGCAAGCTGCATGTTATATAAACGATGGTCTAGCAGGGATGTTTATGTTGTCAAACATCATGCAAAAGCAGTCCTCTGGCCACACAGATGCATCACTTTGCATCTCTGCAACAGCCGCTTCAACTCCAACCTGCCTGAAGGGGGTAATACCTCTTTCCTCTGCGTTTGAATGCTGCTTTTTTTTTTTAAAACACAGAGGAATGACTGTGCAGGGTATGGCACGTGTAGCAAGGAAGCAGAGAGCCTGCTGTCAGGATACAGATCGGTTCAAATGCAAACATCCCTATTTGGCTGAGGAACCCTGGGTCCCTCGGAGGCGACTCACAGCTTGTGTAGAGAGCATTTCATTAATGCTGTGATCATACTGCTCAGCCAGGATAGCCAGCTTCCGGGTCTGCTCCTCCTTGAGCCGTTTGAGGACAGCTTTATGTTCACTCTTTGGCGTGGTCTCCAGCAGATGGTTTCTCAGTGCTTTGTACTGTCTGGTTTGGATCTTGCATGTATCCTGAAACTGCTTCTTTATCTGTAGTTCTTTTGACTGGAAAGATGGAGGGGACACAAACAAAGAAAAAAAAAAACCAGCGTGTTTCAAATGAGAGAAATATCCATTCAAATGGATATTTACGATTACATTAAGGATATGAGTTCAAGAATCCACAAATGTATATTAACATCTACAGTGCAAGGAGGGAAGCAAAATACACAAGAGGCAACGACTATTGCTGCAGCTGCTTTGACACTGCTACTGTGCGGAACAATTACAATACAGACACTTCTATAACAAAGCTCCAGCCTAAATACAGCTGTCTCTGCACAAAGAGCCTCACATTTGTCACTGGACGGGATCCAGTCCTGGGTGTTGCTTTTCAAGAAAAAGTTCTTGAGGGACAGGACTAATTCATTAGCACCAAAAGCCATACTTACACATGACTGTGCTTGTATGACACATACATACGGACACTGAGTGTTATGAAAAGAAGCAGACCTGGTGCATGGAAAGGGACAGGGAAAAAGAGCAACACTTTTTCCATTGAGGGTTTGATGAAGATAAGATGTATTCTAACTCTTGATATTAAAAGCTTGGTATTCATAAATATACTAAAAAATGGTTGGGAAAGATCAGATGCTTGAAAACATACACCACAAGCAACATTAGCATTGTGCTGGTCTAGCAAACACAACTCCCCAGTCTCAACAGAGAGATTTCCCTTTGCACTTGCTAGCATCTCTTTACTGTTCAGAGACATAACTTTGTGACTGCACGCAGGGCTGGGAAACATCCATCCTGGAAAAGGGTCTGACTTTGCTGTATGACCTCAAGAAATTCATTTAGTTTTTTTCTTTCATCTGCCTTACCCACCTCCAGAGCAGCTTGTGAGGGTTAACATCTACCAAGTGTTTTAACACCCTGAGAAGGAGGGTGTTCTGGGGTTCCCTGTATCTTTCTACAGAGGGGCTGGCAGGGATACTTGTAACCAAGCAAAACCCAGAGGTGATGCGTGATGGTGGTTAACTGACAGTCCAGTCAGGTAAGAAAAAACAAGTAAAACCCAACAACATCAACAACAAAACCACTCTGGGCCATCCTCACTGACAGCCACAACGGTCAAATTCACTAACAGAGCATCAAGCCATTTTCCTGTCCCTTGAGTAAGCTGGAATTGCACTGGGCTCTGAACCAGCAAGGCAGATACACGTGCACATCTCCTGTCAGCTCCTCCACTGCCTGCTCTTGGCACTAACTCAAGGCTCAGCAGGGTAGGTGATAAGCACAGCACTTGTAGCCACCTAGAAAGATGCAGTGGGATCAGACAATATATCCAGCCCAATTTAGACAGCAGCATTCTTTGCTGCATAAACCAACAATTCCACTTTGCTAACCTGAGGCAGAAAACAGGACAAAGATGGGTTTCATTCAAACCAAAATATGTATCATGGAGAGAAATACATCACTTTTACCCTTTCTAAATTCACAGAAAGTTATTTCCCTCCAGGAAACCTTTAAGGTTGTTTTCTCCCTGCCCTCAAGGAAAGTGTCAGCAGGTTACACATTCCTGTCAGGGACCTGGTCACAGCAAAACACTTGCAATCTATTTTGTCCTCTATTTTTCTGTGGAGTCTTGCTTGGACACCAGACTCTATTTACAGGCTTCCAACCCAAAGGCTTTAACAACAGGAAACAGAAGGGAGGGGTAAGATTTCCAGTCAGACTTCTGACAAGATCATTTTGACCTAGAATTGTGAAATACCAGCAAGAGGGTATTTGCATCACAATTAACACACTCAAAATAATAACAGAGCAGTTTGCACTGAAGGGTGAATTCTAGTTATCGGTCCTTCTGGTGCTGTGAGAGTGGCAACAGACACTGACCGTTAAAGCCCAGCTTTCAGGACAAAGGACCTCACTAAATAACAAAGGGAGAGCCTGAAACATGTGCCCTTGAGGGAAAACGTTGCTGGAGAGAGAAACTGAACAAATAGTCAAATTATCTATTCAATGAAGAATACTTGCCTGCATTAGTCAGAAGCAAAAGAAGGAGTTAATAATACCAGGGAACAGGCTCAATAAAGAGGGGATTGTGCTCCAAACTGAACCCTTGTCCAGCAGGCTGCATTATTAGCACTGTGTGCATGCAAAGGTGCTGGATTGACAGCTCAAGCCTGAAATCCTTTGCTAATCGCAGAACAGCCATGCAAAGCGAAGCGCAAGCTTTCCATGCTTCCTAAAAACACTCAGCCCTGTCCTCACTGGAAAAGGGAAGGGGTTGAAGAGTGTGCAGAGGTGAGAGCCAAGCCCCTGCAGCCCAGAGGGACTGCAGATCCTGCTGTCCCAACTGCCAGCCAGGGACTGAGAACGGACACGCTGCCCACTCGTGTTTGCACCACATCACCTTGGGGAGGCAGAACTCATTCATGCTAATCTCAGAAGGATCAGCCTAATACAGCTGCTTCAGTTTTATTCAGCTCAGAGTGCAGCACAGCTTCCCTGTGAAGTCATCAGCTATTTATACACTATATCCTTGGAGATTCTCAACAGCCATCAGATGGTCCCTTGTTCTCACAAGCCAGGTTTTCACTATTTAATATTATTCTAATATTGACAAATCAGGTGGTAAGGTTTTTTTTTTTTCCCCTCTGAAGTTCTATTTTCAAGTTGGTTATTTTCTCTGTGAGAAGATAACTTGCAGATGGTGAAAACTAAGTCAGATGGGAAATATCACGAAGAGGAAAGACCTAGAACAACAAAGAAACTCCATGCTCAGTATGCCATACACTCATTTTGTTACTGGCACAGCTGAACACTGGGTGGAGAGAAGAAGTCTGCCTCCTCAAAGGAAATGTACCAGGCAGCTTTGTGAAAGGCCTTATACTCCCTTCTCAGACACTTCAGAATAAACCACTGGACTTCTTTGGATGAAGTGAAGGCTTACAATGAAAACACTAAAAGCCTTAATTACAGAGGCCCTATAGTTCTGGTCAGCCACCGCAGCTACAAGGGCAGCATGAGAAACCCATGAGAGCATAGCAAAGGTCAGTGCTAGGACCTTCCTGAGGACACTGCAGTTGGCTCGTGTCTCTCTTTTCCCCCCACACTTGCTAACTTACCAGCCTTAATCTAAAAACAATGCAAGGTGAGTTAGCCAAGACTGACAGTGCAGTGCATTTTGATGCACACAGCAACACAAAGCTTTTCTGTTTGTTTGGTTTTAAATGACACTGCTTCATTACAGAAAAACAGATTTTATTCTTGTAGATGGGGGGAGAAGAAGATCAGTAAATGGTGTCAGAGCAAGAGGGGGGGGAAAAAGGCACAGCAACAATTAAATGCATTTTAAACTACCTCAAAAAGGAAGGCACAGTACTGAGAACCACAGCTTTCCAAATCAAATGAAGGAACAGTGCTGCTATGGCTTGCCTACAATACACTGCAACCTGGTCACCATTGCTATGGCTCATACATGTGGTGCTTGGAGGGCTGCAGTTGCACCCTGTCAGTTACACAGCTTGACAGCTACGACCCTTTTTAAAGAAGGTATTAATTACAGAATGAGACACCTCTTCAAATTAATGAGCTTCAAAATACCTTGGACCTGCACACACTGCAAATGAGACCCGAGCTGCAATGTACCACATCTCCACCACCACCAGCAGCTCAGGCCCAGAGCTCCTACATCATGTAGTACCTTCAGGCTCTTGGGCTGCTGCCGGACCTCCATGACGTGCTTACGCCTCAGCTCTCGCTCCCGGCGCTTGTTGTATTCCAGCTGGTTGGTGAGCTCGGTCTGGTGCTGGAGCCGGATCAGCTCACAGCGCATCTTCTGGATGGTACTGAGATGGCGGAACTCCAGCTCCTGCATGGACTCGTGCTGACGCAGCAGCATGGCATGCTCCAGGTCCTTCTGTGTCTGCCTTTTGTTTAACTCCTAACAGGAGGACAGAGGGAATTATTAGATTCTTCATACTTACTTGGATTTCTGTTCACAACGTGACATTTCACTTTGTTCGCAAGGACATTTCTCTCTTTCCATGGCATTTGAGGACAGAGCACAGAGTTTCTAGGTCTTATCAGAAGCAGACAGCACAGCCACTGGTCACTTCTCCTTCCTCATTTCACTTTTCTTCTTCCTGCTGTAGATGCTCAACAGGATTCACAGTAAGCATTTTGTGCAAAGGACCGTAACTGCTGACTTTTTGGATCTAACAATTCTCCCACATAGGACACTAATCTGAATCATTTGATTCCACATGGTCCTCTGAACGCCACAAGGGGGCTTTGAGCAACCTGGTCTTGTGGAAGGTGTCCCTGCCTATAGCAGGGGGTTGGAACTAGATGATGTGTAAGGTCCTTTCCAACTCAAACCAGTCTGTGATTACCAGACAATGTTGCAGAACACATCGAACCATTATTTTACCAAACCCACTTTAGATGTGGTAATTAAGACTCCAGGGAGACTCAAATTGGATTGCAGGTGCTCCTGTGAGACACATTTCACACAGGTGGAGTCAGGTCTCATCTCTGCCTTTTCTCTTACCTCCCGAACCAGGTCCTGCTCCAGATTATGGCGGCCAAGGAGCATCCGTCTCTTAAAGCGGCGACACTCCAGCTCCAAATACTGCCTCTGACGCCTCAGTAAGTTGGCTTCTTCCTCTGCCTGGAAATGCTGGATGTTCTCCTTCTGCTTGGAGAGCCACTCCTGCTTCTCCTTCTTTGGAGTGCTCTGGTTTTCATTCAGCTCCTGATAACAGCAAGGTAATTAATTGTGGAATAGTCACCTTAAGCTCCTTGGTCATGAACAACTTGTCAGACCTGCCTAATAAACTACATTTCAAAGCCATTTCACCTTGTACCATCCCAGCCTCTGCAAAATGCATCGTATCACAGATCTAAGGGAACATCAGGAGACACTTCACAGGGAAGCAAATCTAACCACAACTTGTTTTTTGAATTGGCCATTTTAACTGGCCAAAATGCTGGTTCATGTCCATACTTTCCAGACATATACATTAGCTCAAAATGTAAAAGTAATGGTTTGCCACCGAAAACAAAGACTCTTGGAGCCTGACAAATGTTTTTACAGGCTCCCAAAGGACTGAGAGGAGAAGCAAAGTGTTGTCATGCTGTTGGTCAAACAAAACCCCAGCCACATGAAGCACACTAGAAAATGTCCGTGTCTTGCTTGAACAGAACTCATACACAAGTAACTCATCAAGGCAGAGCCACCACCACTTACATAAACATAAAGAAGTTCACAGGTGAAACTTAAGGCCACAGTTGCCACATTTGTATTAAATTCTACACAAAGTTTGAAGCACCTTTGGCAAAAGACTCTGCTTGCTTGAACTGCATACTAGAGGAGCCCCTAGAGTAACTAGACTTGTCGTGATACATCTCAACTTCAGCATGAGACAGAACTCCTCTGTATTTCACCAGTGGTTCTTGGTGTTCTGTGATCTCCTGCCCACTCAGAAAAAGACTCTGTGTTATTATAAAAAGCCCACACTACTATAGTTTTTGTTAGATCTTTCTTGGCTCTGCTGCTCTTTAGCCTTTTTTTTTTTTTTCTCCTGGGAAATGTCTATGTTTGGGAATATTCCCCTTTGGAGCAAGTTCCTAAGTTGCGTCACACAAGTTGATGGTTGAACATTAAACGGTTCTTTCAAAAGAATTATTTATAGTGCTTATGGTTTCAACCACTCCACAAAAAGAATCAGGAAGTTTGATTCTACAGTTTCTCTGCCTTTCACAAAGGTCATGATTTTTCACCACAATACAGTGATTTTTAACCTATTACACAGCTTTCTCCATTAAAATTCAGTAGCGTTTTGCAGGTATTTTCCTTTAAAAAAAAAAAAAAACAAAAATATTTGCAGGTTCTCTTTACTGTTTTGTTTTCTCGCTGCTGCTACAGAAATAGCATTAAGTGATAAGAAACTTCATTAACTGCTGGAGTGCATGGTCAATATCTGCAACAAAAAGGCATGAGAAAAATGCTCATGACCTTTCTACCTTTTTTCATTTCTTAGGATGGCAAACTTTGCATGTTTCTGGCTAACATGGAATATTAAACAATGGAGAAAGTTGTACTTTCACAAGATGAATGTAAAGGTGCCAATATATGAATAAACTCTCTAAGTCTGAGGTCAAAGAGATGAACAAATACATGTACAGGACTCTGCTCATGAAATGCAGAACTTGCTGCGATCCAGTGAAAGATCTCTTGTGCACAGTGTCACTTCTATCCCTGAATGGCTCTCACACCACATCATACACTGCAGTGTATTCACATTTCTCATTACAGATGAGTTACCTCTTTCAGCTGCTCTTTACGGAGTTTATATTCTCTCTTCTGGGACTCCAGGAAACTGTTCAATTCTTTTTTCTGTTGGGCCTGAATATGCTGTTGAAATTTCTTTTCTTCATTGGCCATCACTTTAGCCTACAGCAAATCCGGCAGCAAATCAGTTTGCGTCCCGATGGGTTACAGCTCATGTTCCATTTAAGCCCGAGACCCAGAACTCTTGGTACAGTCACCACGATACTCACCATGACTCTGAATAAGCACGAGCCTCAGGAGCTTGCCCTCACTCTCTTCTCATTCCACCACCCCCCCCATCAACACACCCGGCAGGAGTCCTCTTTTCAGTGCTTCATTTCCTCAGCCCTACTGTTCAGCTAGTCCTGCCTAACAAAGGCAACACCTTATGATAAACTGTATCCTTAGCCCTCCACTGAGAGATCCAAGATGAACAAAGAATCAATAATAACTGCTGTAGGCAGCACCACTTCATTATCAATTATTTAAAAACATAAAAAAATCCCATATCCATAAGCAATTCAACGGTGAACCTTTAAGTGTAGCTGGCACATTTCTCTGCAGGCTGATCTGCCTCCAGAACACTCGATGGCAGGCAGTTATTGGCAGCATATGCATGGCAAAAGAAAGGAAAACCCTCGCAGTATTTTTCTGGGGTCAGTACACTAACATTTAGTATAACGCACTGTGATGAAGGACATACCTTTCCTCTAGTTACATAAACCCCTTAGTGGTTTTAGCCTTTTTCTTATTAGCAATTTGCTTGCCTCCTGAAAACACACATGTAAGAGACCTCGATGTCATCTCCTCATCAATGAGGGGCAGTGGACAATTCAATGCCATTAGCAACATGGACTGGTCTGCTAAACCATGATCTCCTACCTCTTTCTCCATGGCTGCTTGGTGCTTTTTAATGAGCTTTTCCATTTCTGCAGCAAAATTGTTACGCTGTGTTTCGAGATCTTTGTCCAACCTGAGGCGATGCTCGTCCATCTCTGCCTTCAGTTTATTCTCCAACGCCATCAGTTGCTTCTGGTGTTGCCGTCTCATACGTTTATAGCCAGACATCTGCTCTCGGAGTTCTGAGTCTTGTTCATGTTCCTGCATTTGCCTTGTCACCTAGGAAGATAACCACATCAGGCCAAAGTAAGTTAATGCTGCTTAATCTGCTTTTCAGCAGTCTTCAAACCACAAAAGAAAACTATTCAGGATAGAAATATGATTTTGTTGTAAAGAAAAGCACCCATCCTAAAGGCAGCAGAGCAGATTCAGAACTGAATTCTGCAGTGGAAGATAAGCTCTGCTGGGCGCCAGCAGAAGAACCGTACAATTGTTATAAAGCTGATACTAAATAATATCGTTTAGCCCACTGCAATGAGGGTGCATTTATATACATACAAATACACATAATATGCATATGAAAAGAATAGCCAGCTTATTCTTATAAACTGTTTCCTATATTGGGTTTGAAAATCTCTAATATACACAAATTATATTTGCCCAGGTGCCGCATTTAAGCTTTTGTTAACTTACATTCAACTATTTCAGTGATAACGTCTCGGTCAATGTGGATAGCTCATATTCTGATGAAGTCCTAACAGCTCTACTAGTGACACTGAGCTGTGTTCAAATGTGTCCCTACCCCTACCACTACATCCAAACAGCCACCTTCACGTACCAGCGATGCTGTGCGTATAGTAGCAAAGTGCTCTCGGTTGCGATAATGAGACTTGTGGCGAGATACTTGGGGAGGAGACTGGGGTTCTGATGCCCTTGTTCGAGGATCTGATTCCTCTCTGTAGTTTTCCTCCTCCTTATCAGCAAATAGTAACGTGAGAGAATAAAGAGAAGCTGTGTTAATCAAGATTTTTATTTCGGTTTGGTTCAAAAGACATCTAAAAGGAAGAAAAAGCATTTTACGTTCTCCCACCAATAAGCTGGATGAAGGAGCAGACTGCAACAAGAGCTCTGATCTAGGATCTTTGCTTTTGGCAGTTTCACTGTGCATTTTTCTTACCAAGAGGAAAATGATTAGTTAAAGCTGAAAAAGAAAAATGAATGGAAAACTGAAAAGTGAGTTGAACAGTTGACTTCAACAAAACAGTAAAGCTATAAAGTAGATGATATCAAGCCTGAAAGACAAAACCAGCATGTTTGTAACCCTGAAAGACAGAGGAAGATTTTCACTACACCCACTACAGAAATACCTCAAAGCAAATTTTAGGATTTGTCACGGTGTGTTCCACACTCTTATTTTGGGTTTGTCATTCATCACAGAGCGATTAGTAGTTAGATATGATACAGTAATTAACTCCCCAAGGAAATACCTGTGTCTTTGGTGCATATCTGGGCAAAGAACAAAACATTCTAACCACACCTATCATTAGCTGAGGGAACGTTACTGCTTTGAGAACACGTGTGATAACCCCTCCACAGAAAGAGCAGCATGGATCAGAGGGAAGCTCCCCAGTTTATCTTCCATTGCGCAGAGTTAAGGCAGGGGAAGTGGTTTCACATCTTGCCATGTCCAGAGTGCTGTTTCTTTTTCCATGCATCTTTATCCATTAACCAAGTATTTGAATCAAGTGCTGCAAAACTGGGTGCTCCAGGAACAGATTTCAGCCACTGTTCTGGGTTCTGTATTTGAGAATTCACTAACTAGGAGGTAAAAAGGGGGAACTCACATCCTTTTGTCCCATGAAGCAGTGCTCTGGGAGCATCAACTAAATAAACCTGTTCACAACCTGCCATTGCAGCTCCTCACAGTAAAGCAAACTGCTTTTGAAACAATTCAGTTAGTAAAATAGTGGTTAGTGAGTCAACAGAAAGAAATGATTTTTACAGCAACCTTCCAAAGTTTCCAGTGCACATTAACATATTTGGGGCACAACATTATAACCTGCAGATAATGACCTGGATTGGAAACACGCAACTTTTTGTCACTGTGCCAACCAAATCTTCTCCTGTTTTACACCTTCAAAGTTACCCAGTATAAATCCAGTGCTTACCGGCTTTAAATGAATGACAGAGCTATTTGACATCACGGTGTGGTCCCCCTCCATCATATCCAGCTCGCTCTTATCATCCGAGGCATCTGGAAGACTGTTAACACTACTGCTTTGGCTACTGGCACTGATAGACATACTAGGAATGGACTGATTACTTCCGACACTATTCACTGTTCCTGTCCTGCCGACACCGTGATCTTGTTCCTGGGAGAAAAGAATTATTAAGAGAAGTCAAAATCCATCACAGTTGTATCTATGGACATGACCAAATAAAATGTTCAATCCATTTCTTTCTAAAGGCATCTACCTGCCACATCATGGCAGTTCCCACCCTCTGGGCATTGCCATGAAACATTTCTCATGTGGGATGCAGGGGAGAGAAGGAATCAGCCTTGTCAAGATTAACTGGCTGATGTCAGATTCTTTTCAACAGTGAGCCTGTTAACAAGCTGAACTCGATCACGTATCAGCAACAGCATGTCATCAGAAACTGTTCTGACACCAGCATCACCTAAGTGCTCAGCTAGAACCCTGCATCTCACACAGTTCCTTTCTATACATGAGAACTACAGACCAGAGTCCTAATTTCTGCAGCGACTGCAGCATGCAACCCAAAACCAGACTGATTTCCTTGATTGCCTTTCCCCCCCGCTTTTCTTTTAAATCAAGTACAAATTTCTATGTCTTAGAACAACACTCTCCAGTCAAAACTAGAGGACTGGACAAATGGTCAAAATAGAGGTTAAGTAGTTGCAGGAAGAGTCCTCAGGAAGCCTTATGAACAGGCAAAAAAAGATGGGATTTATGGAACTGGAAGCTAACTGCTCAAGCATGAACACATGGCACTGCTTCTTGCCAGCATGAGGCATCTACCCTGTTTGTCCTTGTTTGTGCCTTGAGGTAGCTTTATTCCAAGCATAAAGGGGAAGACACAGAGTTTACAGCCAGGTGGGTAAACAGCCTCCATTCGTTTTAACAGTATCTGAGTTGTGCTTATTTGAACGACAGCATCATTCCCTGGTTCAGTGATGAAACCCAAAGCTTCTCTCACCTCCTCCTCCTCCTGTGTTTCAACTGCAGGGCCATTGTGTGCCTCCTGGAAAAGGAGCTTCTTCATTTTACGATACTGCAGGTTGTCCAGTTCTCTCACCGCATCCTTTGTTCTCTGAATCAAGTCTATTAACACTGTTTCGGGCCGCTCCCGAAGAACAAACATATGCTGTAGGACACACAAATAGGTGAGTGACCCCCTTGTGCCTCCAGCACAGATGCTTTGAAGATACAATTATGAACTCTATTTGGGTTTGTTAGCCCTCTTCCCTGCACAGGAGAAGACCTCTGCAGCTTATGCTGCCACTATTTGTAGACTTCATGATCCACAGAGATTTCAGGATGATTGCTTTCTGATGGGAGATACCCACCAAAAAATAAAGATGTGGAAAAAAATCCCCAGAAATGGTATTTCATGTATCATGAAAACAGGTTTAGTTTAAACCTAGACTTCTTTGGGTATTGAGGAATTCAAAGACATTCTCTACTTGTGGTTTAGAGAAGGAAGAGCAACAAATAATGTATCAGTGCTGAAGGTGTTAAGCTGGTTAGTATCTCTAACCAAATGTTAATCAACTCATTACCAAACTCTCACTATAAAACCCTTTTCCTTGTTTAGAAAATCTTGAGAATCAAATACTCAGCACACAGCTCTGAGTCATAAAATAGGCTGCGAACTTCAAGCTCGGTCCTAGAACAGTTAGCCCTATTATGTTCTTTTTTGGGAGATATTCACTGCATTGCACTGCAAAGGTGGCTGCATTTTGCCAATAGGTAAAACAATCCCTGTCTATGTATGTCAGAAGCAGCTTTTGCAGGCTCCAGATGAAATGTGCTGTGCAAGCATGAGTCATAATTAACACCACCACTAGTTTCATTTTGTTCCTCTGGAGAACTGCACTGCCATTTCCATCATGCCACATTCCCTACCTGTCCCTGTAAAGTGGCACGCAGCTGTTTCAGACTATAGATATGGAAGGAATACATTCACAAACGTTTAATTTCCATCAATGTTCTCTTTAATTGCAGTGCACTGCTCAAAATAAAACCAATCTGCAGGATTCTGAAATGGCAGGACTGCACTCCCACACCGAACCCGTTACCGGATAATTGCATTTACTTTCTGAATACAGGTTTTTTTGAAGAGGCAAAAGTCCTCAGAACCATTTCAGTAAAAACATGAGAAAAAGGGGATGATAAAACCTTCATAAATAGCATCCATTTTCCTTCAGAGCAACATGGCCAGGATTAAAATAAAGAAACCCCAAAATAATGTCACGAGCGCTGTAAAAAGAATGACAAGTTAGCAGAATCCTGAATGCCACCTGATGCCACAAAGGAAATCCATCAAAGTCCCACCTACAATAAAGCAGCTCTAACACCCAACTTCTATGCAAGTTGCGTTCACTTAGGAACACGTCAGCTTTTTGCAAGGCTGGCTTTGTTTCCAGACTAAAGCAAGGAAAATCAAGTGTCTGCAGCATACAGGAGCACAAATAGAGGAAAAAATAAGAAATAAAGCAAGAAACATGCTGAAGGCTGAGGTTTAATCATGCCAAGTAAAAGTATGGGGAAGAAAAACTGCTTTTCCCTGCTACCTTTCCCCCAGGATACCATTAGAACAGTGGATTTCAGTCCTATGTGTAAAGCACATAGGTGATGGGAGAGGATAAAAGGCCTTTAAGGGTGTGTGTGTATACATATACACAGGGAAGCAATGAAAGGCATTGGTTAACTAATGCATGGCAGCTATGCTGGGATGAATTATCATCACTGGAAGGACAGACTGATCTTAAGAAACTGAAATTCTTGACAAGTTGATGGTCATGCAGCGTCACTTGATGGGGTGTCCTCTTACGAGACCAAGTCTGGCTTGGAGAGTCACCTAGGGAACTGCCCTAGACACTGCAAAGGGGAAATAAAGCCAGGACAGCCAGCTCAGTACCCTCCACAGCACCCTCAGCTCAAAGGTGATTGAGGTAACAGGCAGAGAAGGCAGCATTAACCGTAGCCTAGTACGGTAGGTGAGACAGAAGAACATCACAGGGCACAGCCCCTTTTTAATACTATGTGGAAAACAAAAAGGAGAAGGAAGCCAACCTTCAGAAGCTCCTCTGATGTAGGCCTGTCTTGAGGAATTTTCTGGAGGCAAGAATCTACGAAGTTTCGGAAATAATCAGACCTGTGGCAAGGAAAAAGGAAAAGAAAAAAAATCCATCTGAGTTAGCGACCCAGTTTCATTCCTTAAGGAATCCAGATATTCAGACTCATTTGGGTTGGAAGGGACCTTAAAGATGATCTAGTTCCAATCCCGCTGCGATGGGCAGGGACCATCTGGGTGCTCCCAGTAGAAAAAGTGTGGAGAAACCACACAGACCCAATACTTTATACTACAGCCTCTGACATCCCTAGCCAAGTCAAAGCCCACCATTAGTAGGCAGAGCCCTTTAACCTCAGCTTCCAGACAAAATGTTTCAGCTTAAGAACAAATTCCAGGGGAAGGATATTTCCAGGTAAAGGCATACACCCAATGTAGCTCAGTGTCAGCACCAACCCTGGACAATTCTATAGTGCACAAACTCTTCAAGGTCTAATCAGAGCCCCTGCCCTGCTCCACTCTGTGTGCTAATGTTTCATCCACTGGCTGTATTAACGCACCACTCCTGAATCCCATCGGCCCCTCAAACACAACTGTGCAATCTGTCACAAGTAAGACTTAAGGTTGTGATTTGCTTAGTAACTTCTCTCCTTCTACAAGGTAAAATGCTGTATTTTGCCCTTTCTTCCCCTCTGCACACAGGTTTTCAGCAGGGCAGGATTATACCCTGAAAACAGCAGCACATCAGTTGTACAGGTTTTCTTTCTTTCCTCTCCCACTGCTCCCAGCATGTAAGGGGGGGAAGTGTTTGCTACTGCAATTCTGCAATTTTTCCAGTAAATTAAGTTATTGCATTTTTTGGTCAGAAAAAACAAAATGCATAAAATGAGCTGAATGTTATAACAAGCACCAGGGTGTGAAATAGCCTCAATAGAAAAATCTCAGAGGTAGTAAAAAAGAATCTAGAAATCAGGTACAACGTATGATGTTAGAGGCACAGGACTGTGGCTCAGAAAAAACACAATTAGGGAGTTTTTAACTTTTGAAATTAGTTTACTGTGTTTGCTGTTTCAAAAGGCAATTGTTGAGGCTGGGAGGCACAAAATGTGCTTTATTCTTCTGAAGTTTATGCGACAGACACTTGCCACGCACAAGCACTATCTTCATCTTCAACAAGATTTAAGCATTGACAGTGTGGTTTATGATGGAAAAAAATCCCACTAAAATGCACATTTTTGGCAAGTCTGGGAGCTTCAGAATGTTACTGACCCATGAACTGAACTTTTTACAGGATCTTCCAGTGGCGTGTCCCGTTTCTACCACATTCTAGAGTCTAAAAATGCATATTTAGTGATTGGTCAGTTTTGTATATAAAATGTATAGTGAACCTAATAAGAACCTTCCAGCTCACATCCTCCCAACAGGAATCCAGCCATTTCAAGAACTCAGCATGACAAAGCACTCCATTTACAGCAATTCCCTGCAACATTCCTCCCTCAGTAATACTCACCATTCATTAGACTGTAGTGTAGGGGATTCATTCTGCGCTATGTGATATAAGGCACTCATTGCGTTCATATTAAACAAAGGAGGCTTCCTTTCCGCTACACACAAAAGAAAATAGTTTTTATACAGGGAGATAGTCTCATGGTTTTGCTCTTTATTTTAGTTTACATCCCTTTAAAAAGAAAACCACATCAGCAGAATCACTATTGCCTGAACATGGAACCCCAAACCAACCCTACCCTGCAATCAGACAGATATGTTGGCATATATCCTATACCATTGCAGAAGATGAAAGCACTTTGAAGATCAAATGCCTTGTCCTCTCAAGCTTTTAAATTACGTGGTTTATCATAGTTGAGTTCTCTGACTCATTTTAATGTACTAAAATAGGAGTAAGTTAACAGTAAGCTCTACAGTCGGTGTTTAGCCACTAAGCATTCTTGGTTTCATTGTGTCGTCGTCGTCGTCCCCCCCCCACTCTTTTTAACTACAGTTGCTAAAAAGCTAACAAATATTTAATTCTAGGACAGCAGTGATGAAGAAAAAGCTGGTAACAAGAACCATCAAATCACACTTAACTGACTAAGCACATGGGCAGGAAGTCAGTAACAGGCCAACTCTTTATACTATTTTGAGCATTGCATTCTCTTTGGCTCTTCTCTCCCTTTCAAGCTTGTGTTACTCTTATAGACTGACACAGCATGAAAGCTTAATGAGGAAGGAGATGATCTCACTGGAACAACAAAACTGAAGCTTCATCAGAATGTTTATGGGGTAAACCTATAAAGCTCAGCCTTGCCATAAACATTCCAGAGGAGCTGGTCAGGCCACGAGGCCGTTCCTACACGAGTGAAAAATGCAACAGAAAACTTAAAAAACACCCAAACAAGGAAAAATAATGCTAGATTTCTTATTTGCTTTTAAATTTTGAGTTGCATAGTAGCAGTAAGCTGTATATCAGAGATCACAGTTCACTCATCACTATCACAGCATGGACTAAGCCCTACAAATTCCTCAGAATTGTGAGCAAAAGTTAAGCCTTTCCTCAGATGTAGTACTTCACCTTCTGTAGTCTGTCAGATAACCAGTTGCTGCCACCAAAGATCAGGCTGATTATCCATTAAACTCTTTTAACTGACCCCTTAAACTTTTTTCATCTTAACAGACTGCCCTCCCTAGCTTTTTTCCTCTTAACTCACCTGAATAAAACAGGAATCTTCAGGAAACACTGAAACTGAGCCCTCAATGAAGCCATTTCTAAGACAAAGTGATCATCTGATAAGACTACCAGACATCTCCTTTTCCTGCTTTCCTCCCATGCTTATTCAAACCATCCCAACCGAGACAACCCCACCAGCCCAGCCTCCAATGCTCTACCATGCTGACCTAGCCTCACCTCTCACCACACTACGAAGCCATAGACGAAGCCCAACGCTTCATATTGCAAACACACAGCGTGCAGGAAGGCTCCCGGGGGTGTGGTGGCCATGAGCTCACTGCATTCCTGGAGCCCTGCAGCCAGCCAAGTCTCCTTACTCCACACTCGGAGCAGGATTCTGTCATGACAGTCACACCCCTTCGACTTGCTTTATGTTGGCAACCCCCAAAAAAATAATCTCTGCTCTGTAGAAAGAATCTATTTCACGTCCTGGAAGAAAATGAAGTTGACAGTTTGGAATGCCAGACAGCACTTTTAGCTAAACTGTGCAGTTCACATGGATTAACGTGTTCCTCAGTGAGAGCTCTCGTTGCTGTTCCTCCACCAAAGTTGGTTTGGAGTATGAGCAATGAGATCTGACAAGGATGGTAGGACAGCCTCAGGTGAAACCTCACCATCCCCAGGAAAACTTACAGCTAAGTGCTTCCAGAGAGCTGGATCCTGACTAAAGTCTGAGCAGCGCTGTGCATCACTGAGTGTATTTTTGTTCCAAGACTACATGTTTTTAAATAGAATGCCATACTAACACAGGTCTTTTAAACTGATGTTCTGCTTTAAGGAGTCTGTTCTAACGGCAGCGCCATCATTTCTTCTGGGATTGATTTATAGGTTTCCACTTCAAAATTAGATTAGTCTGTACCTTTTCCTTAAAACAACTCTAGAGATTTCCCAGCCAAATCTGTTCACAACTGATAACACTGAATATAGCTTTGAAGCTGTCCACTTATCTAACCTTCATTATCGCATGACTGTATCTTAAATTTTTATGCGAACAGTATCAACTTCTATCATTAAATGTATTTTCACACTGGTACTTCTAATGGTTCATTTCTAAAGCAGTTCAGCAAATAGACTGGTTTTCAATACAAAACTTAACTGCCTCTCTAACAGACTGTGAACATCTTTTGTGATACAGTTTGGCTATTTTCTTTGTCTACATAACTCTTTCTTCAGGTAATGAAAACACCAGTTCAATAAACATCAAATTGGAGACTTGAATTCCAGAGATCACATTTAGCTCTTTCCTCTAACTTAAGTCCCAGAGAAACCAGGACAAGGACAGCAGCATAGATCTTCTGTACTGTGATTGAGCTGAGTAAGTTCTAGGTATCAAATAACTACACTTTATAATTTTGCAAATAAAATAACTTACCTAACTCAATACAGGTAATTCCAAGAGACCAAACATCTACTTTGCCATCATACTGCCCTTCATCCATGGCTAAAATCACTTCTGGGGCCATCCTAAAAGAAGGAAATTGGTGCTTGTAAAATTCTGGGCAATGGCACACGTGGTATCAGCATCAGTATTCCAACAAAACAGGCTGTTTCACTGATCTCAACTACCATAAGCAAATCATTCCCCAAGGTATCAGGCATGGACATGGAATACTGTGAACAAAGACCAGGCACCCACACTAGCACAAGCCTGTGGAGAGGCTGTGTGCTGTTCTCCTGTGCTTTGCCCAGCTCTCCATTCTTGAGCATCACCAGCTTTTTGTCCTCCCACATTTCCAACAGTTTAGCTGGCTGGCTAACTCTGGTGAAATAATTAGAGCATGCAGTTGTGTAAACACCACAGATTAGGTGTAAGAGATCAAAAGCATACAAGGGATCTGCAAAAGGATTTGGTCAATGAACCTGGCCTTTCCTATGGAAGAAAAAACACTTCAGTTATTTCAACAACGAGACGTGGTGAGAACATACGAACTGTTAAAACCACTGTGGGGGGAGTTACAGATGATTCAATCCCACCTCTACCACTTAAAGTCAGCCTAAAAATTGCTTTATCACTTTTAGTGAACTCTAAATACAAGAATTCACAACTTCTTGAGCTCAGAGCCTATTTACTATTTAATCTTTGGCAAAGTCCATTTTATCACTACACAACTGGAAGATTACAAAGTCAGTTCCAATAAATCCCAAGTGTATTAAATACCCAATAAATGATCTTTGCACTTCACAAAGCCAGAAATATGTAAAACTCTTGGCTTACCAATATGGCGTCCCCACAAATGAGTTGGCAGGAGATGCTATGGAAGCAGACCCAAAGTCAGCAAGTTTCACCTGTCCTGGCTCTGTCAGCAGGATGTTTCCTGCCTTGATATCTCTGGTTATAGAATACAAGTGTCAGGATTATTCCTCTCCAAAAAAATAAGCCTTCTATAAGACAGCCTATGAAACACAGCAGCAGTCATATGCTCAAGCTGCAGAATACCCAGATTTTCTCCAAATACAAAATCTTGAACCTTTAGGTCAATGGCTTAATGTGGCCCTTGATCTTAGAATCTAGTTTGCCTTAAAAGTCAGCTTAAAATGGCACATCTGGATAAGCTTCATAAACAGTTCAACAAAACCTCCTGAAGCAACCATGTCCTTTATCAAAGTTTTTCAGAAAGTCCTAATAAGGTAACTATTCAAATCCTCCATCCTACTAAAATGCAGCAGGCCCTTCAAACACAAAGAACATTTGCATGCCGTACTTACTGTGTGCTTCTCAACATGTGTGTTCATATAAAAGTGATTTTTGAGGTATGAGTGTTCCCCCCACCCCAGCAATCTCTGCCTTGCAGTTGCTACAAGCTAGTCAGGTGAACTGAGCCTGCCTTCCTATTCACAGCTTCAGGGAACAATCAGTATCATATCAAGTATTGAAAAGCTTAGTAGATTCAAAGCAATTCTGCACAAATTACGAACACCAGCTGTAAGAGAGAGTGCATATGGAGATATGTAGCTTGCTAGTATTTGTCTACTATAAATCACTAGTTGGGGAGCAGATGGGCAGAGCAAAAAGAAAATCTCTGCTTGCAAATACTGAATTTGGGATGAAAAGGGATACCGTCAAGAAAATAAATTACCTGTTAAGTGTGTGAGACAGCAAAAGTATAACCACTTACCTGTGGATCATATTGTGAGAATGCAAGTATGCTAATCCCTGGAGAGCACCATGGGTAATTGCTGCTATTTCCACTTCTTGCAATGGCTTTTTATGAACTTAAGGAAAGAATTTATTTAAAATTCAATATTAAAGAAAACAATGCATTTTACAGCATGCAAGTGAGTACTGTTAACAACATAAACAGAGAGAAAATACTAAGAGGTTATTTTTACTATGCCCAGTTTGAGGAGCAAATGTAAAAATTAGTTCACAGTGTACATTCTATTATCAGATGTCATATTCTAACTGTAAACCAGCAGCTATTTACTACAAAAAGAGACTACTTTGCAACTGTAAACTGCTTTCCTGTCAGTTCTGTGACCATTCTCCCAAATACCTATTTGACATTCAATATTCAATTTTCCATTAATGAAGCTAAATCCCAAACCCAAGAACTTTACAATTCACACATGAATAAGCTGTAGCAATACAGATGACTCTGGCAGCTCAGCCTTTTGTCCTGAAATGCTTTTGGCAAGGAAAGGAGATGAACAACTTACTGGGCACACATATATCTTCAAAGAAAGTTCACTTCAAGAAGCCTGATAGAAAAACGACCATTTAACAAACGACCTCATCAAGCAAAACCCTACTACTGCTGCAGTGCTATTTTAGTCAACAGGCCTACAGTTGTTAGTAAGCATTAGGATCAACAGCAAGGGTTTTCAGAAATAAATCTTGAACTGGCATGCCAGGAGAACCTAAAACTCAGAGGAAAACAAAAAGCTGACTGACAACTCTACATTAATACAAACCAAGGAGAAACCAGGCCCCTAGGAAAGCTGGTGTTTGACAGAGAAGCCATTACAGCCAGGCAAGCACTTGAGAAACCAAACCTGTTCACACACACTCTGCCCACAAATAAACTATACACTCAAGGACTGCTCTCTGATACTGTAATCTCTTACTTCAGTACACTACTCCTGTCTTTCAATCAAGTAAATGTGCGTGACATACCTTCTAGTAAGTCTGATGCTGATCCTAAACAATATTCCATAACAAGCTGTATGGGAAGAAATAAAAAGAGTTGTTAGAAAATCTCTCATAGTAAATGTATGTTTTCTAGATTTCTGTGGAGAGATCTAGAAACCTTCCCTGGTGCACTCAGTGCAGGCTGCCATAACAAACCAAGTATTGCTTGTAACATAAGCCCCATCCTAGAACCGTCGCACTGACCTCTCCTGTGAGGACAGATCTAACTGGAATTAGCACAGCCTTCCTGTGTATGATACCAAGCCTCAAAACTTGGAGAGGAAGGCACACAAGCATGTTCATAACCAGTTATGTATTGTATTACATATCTCATTTTATATGCACATACTTAACAGGAATGTTAAATTGCACTTAACAAGCTTATCAGAGTATTAAAGGGCTATTTAGGGATTTACTTAAGATTTTGTCCCAGTCACATTGCAAAAAAAAGAAACTAAAACTTTGTCCTACGGATTTATTGAAGCAAACACATGATCAGTACCTTATAATTTCAACTATTAATTCAACAATATGAATTCTTTAGTGTATCATACCACAAAAACTTCATCAATGAGAGGTGCACATTACACTTTTTATTTGACGAATGTTTCCTCTGCATAGCCAATCACATCTATTCCTACATAGGCATTTTTATGCACACAATCACAAATAACCCAAATTTAGTTGGGGTGTGTGAGTGGGTTTTGTTCATTTAAATCAAAAGTATTTAATTAATTAGGAGGTAACAGCCAGAGATAAAACCAGCTAGTTGTTTCTGTCACCTGAACACACAGAGAAATTACAACAAAGTAATCACTACACAACAGTAGAATTTAGTTAAACAGAAACACTAATAACTCAAAATATACTTATATTATTATACTATCATTATTATTCATTTCAAATACTCAGTCCCTCAAGCTAAATGCACTTAAAAACCAATCACCTTACTCTGCAAGTGAAAGGGAAGATTTCCCTAAAGCTTCTTTCCAAAACCTACACTCAGTTTTGCTGAGCAACCATAAGGTCCTGAGCTACCCTCAGCTGAGTCTGTGCAATGCAAGTGTTCAGGTGCCTATTGAAAGCCAGCTGGAGATATTTTAAAGTGCCCTTAACCAAGACAAGAGTGCAGCAGATGCTTACCCATGCTGTATGCTCCCGCAAATAGCAGCCTTTGTATTCTATACTGTTAGGGTGTTTTATTTTTTGGAGGAACTTGACTTCCTTAATAATATCCTGCCATTTCTGTAGAAAATAAAAAGAATAGAAAGACTTTATCAACTGTTACCTTTTTTTTTCAGGTTGTTGTTAAGTCAGTATGTCATTTAATTATTTTAAGAGGCAAAATCATCTTAAAGTTCCAAATCAAAATAGATATACATTAGTACTATGATGTTCACCGCTTAACTCCTCAACACATCTACAAAACAAGCTGTTGATTGATTAGACTGTATATAAGGATCTCTCATCAGTATAATACTTCATATGTAGACATGGGCTATACTGGCAAACAATATCTCAGCAAGTCCTCAAAAAAGAAGTGTTCCTTTTTTAAAGGATACCATTTCTATTGTCAAATCAAACATACATCCCAGCCTGAAAGAGATGCGGATGATAAGTGTCCTTCAGCAGGAATCTTGTAGACAGAAAGACCTATCCCTACTAGTAACTATATTACACTGGATGAGGCTCCATTTATCAGTCGCCAAATATCTGACTCTGTTGATAATGTTCCTCCATTACCAATTTAGTCTTGTCAAAGGACCGATTTAAAATGAGTTACCTACAAGATAAGGGAATGGTTCTGCAGGAGAAAAAGAGCAAACAGATAAAGCAAAATCCAGGATTACAAACGGGGAGTTCTGCCAGTGCAACTTTGAAGTACAGAAGAGGCCAAAATGTCATGTTCCAATGTGTGCCCAGACACAGCCATTACTCTCCTTAGAGGAAACCACCAAGTGTTCCTATTCACCGCACATCTAACAACTCCAAAAGGTTCAAAAGCTGTTTTCCAGCTCCTGTTAATCTCTCAGCACACACTCCCTTGCATATGACCAGGACTTACAGATGGACAGAGGTCCCATACACCCAAATGCTTTAGAAAATGTGCAAACCCCAAATCCTCCTCAATAAACATTTTAGGGTTAGAGAAACAAATGAAACCAGGGAACATGGTGGCCACAACTGAGGCAACCAACTAAGCATTGCTCAACACCAGAAATTTCACTAAAATTACATTAGTGCAGCTATTCTAACGTGAACTCCTCTCACTGACACCCTTGTTCCAGTATAAGAACAACTTAGTTCCCTTTTACTTCTAGCCCCAAAGGCTTTGAGGTACAATACAAGCCAAACCAAGAATGCACCATGCTAACCTTCGCTACTGGGAAAAGTGATATATTAATCAAGATGTATTCATGATTTCCTACATAAAAATCCCCCTCCAGGATCACATTAAGACGTGTACTTAACATTACAGTGCTACATATTTCAAAGTACACAGTACCACAGATTTCAAAGGTGTTCCAACTTATTTTTATTATAAAATATATCCTTAGAGAATAATTGTTCCCTGCAATGATAAAATCTTATTAGGAAGCCAAAGTAAATATAAACGATACCAGAATCCCCTTAATCAATTTCTTTACATAGGCTAGTTCATAACTCTAGCAAACTTCTGAACAAAACAAATAAATATAGAAGTAAAATAGAAAGTATTTCATTCCTGGTCTTATTACTTTCTTCAAAATAAGGAAACATACGCATTAAAGACAAACAAAAGCTATTTCTGAAGCATGCACAGTTTGTTTCATTCATGTGAATAGAGTATTTATAGCTCACAGTAATTAAAACAGTAGGACAAGTAGTAAGTACAAATTATTCTTTCATCAGTACACAGTTAAACAAGTCACCGCAGTGACAAAATAGAAGCACACACAGCAAATTTAACTGGGAAGCTAGAATTTAGGACTGCTGGAGAGACACTGCCACCTCTACCTCCTACACAGATACACACGCACACAAAGGAAGGAATAGCTCTGCTCCTTGTAGTGCAGATGATCAATACACAAAAGGCAGGCACAGAAAACAACGAGTTGTTAGTCAAACTCATCGGAGCAAGACTGCTTCTAAGACTGGAATAGAGAGAATGGAGGGAGGAAACCATAAATGCCTTGAACAAGAGGCTTACAATAAATACTTCTGAGGGGAAAAAAAAAATCACACCATGATTTGATAGATGTCGTTTACCAGAAATGACACCAAATCGGCTGCTCATGTCATGTTGGGCTTTTCAAGAATCTGTATTAGCACTTAAACATTTCAAGTATAAAATCAATTATCTCTGTTAAGTGTCGCAGGGAAAAAACACACAACTGGGGTGGCCATGAAAACACTTAATGCTTAAATCTCAGAGGCCTACTTCTGCAGACCTCTCTGCAAAGACTGCCTTAATCCCTGGTTCTGGCAGCTCTTCCGTAATTATGCTGCTGCTCAGATTTTCACACTCATTCATTCACTGCTGGTTTGCTTTTGTTTTAGCTCCTCATCAGCACAGTCATTCCAGGGAAGGATGCATTCTGCCTTACTTACATGCAGGATTCCCTTGGAATCTTTCACCACTGCATCCGCTGCTATTATTCCTTTGTCCAATAAGCAATGTGGTTACTTTGAAAGACATTTCAAATGGAACATTTAAGGGCAAACAGACATGCTAACATACAAACCTACCAGTTTTAATTTTCTTTTTTGCTTTCTACACATTTATGTGGTCCCATAAAAGAGCCCTTTGTGTCTGGAAGAAAAGAGTCCTGCCCACCTTTTCCAGGAGCAGATTAAACAGAAATACACCATGCACATTAAACTGATTTGTTTTCACTGTACCCTCATTCACCTGTACAGCTAAAGGAAGGATTTCTCCTGCTGTAATCCAAGCCAACTAAAATAATCCTATATAATAAGTAGTGGCAATGGTAAAGATTTAACAAGCAACATGTTCTACATACCTCATTGGACTGCTTCCCACTATATGACATTTTCTTGATGGCCACCACTTCATTGGTGCGCACATCACGTGCCTGTAACGGGAAAACATGATGCATCAGTTTCTTCAGACCACGATTTCCCATAAGATGTAAACCAAATATACTCATAAAAAACCCCAATCTTTATCCATTAGTTAACTTTTTCAGATAGTTAAACTAAAATATCTTCCAAGGGGTGTGCCTGCTGCATTTATTAGAAGTTGAAGATCACCCTCCTGTTCGTGAGACAAGGTATGACATTTCTCTGTGCTCAGCATCCAGCAGGTTTCTGCAGCAGTCACGTATTGTCACTTCTAAACTAGAAATCATAGCTTATAAAAGCAGCTCTGACTCAAGTAGAACTGATTTTCCCTAAATTAACTTCTCTCCCTGCTCAGGTCTATACCACACAAAACAGAAGCAAGACTCAGCCCCTTTGTTCCATTCCACACAAGCAAAGATACGCAGGAGATACCTGCTCTGGACACTGGTACCTTAATCCCCAGTGCTCCCACAGATCAGCTATTGTGTCTTAAAGGAAAGATGGGGACCAAGCACCAAGGCTCATTCCCCCTGGCAGGAGAAGAGGCAGGGCTGCTTCACCTTGTGGGGAGGATGGCTCCAGACCAGACCCCAGCCTCTCCTCTGTTAAGGATTTCAGCAGCACGAGAGGTGATGGAGGAAAACACCCCCGAGTCTCTCTGATAAGAATAATCAACTTGGATATGAAACCAGACCATATAAATCAGAATAACGTGCACCACAGCATTCACTGATGACTGATGAAAATGCTGATTTTAGATATATTTGTACTATGAAGCACAACCTATCAGAACATGGATTAATGAAGTACCAAGACTCTGCCTTTCATAAAAAGGTTTTTCCATCATGTTTTAATTCTGCCATCCATTAGAGATTCCCAGAATTCCCTGACAGTCTTTACTTCAACCAGTTATGATGAGCTTGAACCAACAGTATTTTTTCTTTCTGTTTGAGAGGATCCTTCCTACTGTCTCCCTGACACTAAGGTTTTGGGTAACTGTATTTGGGTTTTGAGACCCAAAAAAAAGGAAGAATAAAATTCTGATTCCTAGATCTTTACAAATTAGAGACAATCTCTGAAACATTCCAATCAGTGAAGAACTGCAATGAACCGGGCAAGCCAAATACTAGAGAAGAAGGAGCACAGCTCTAACAAAAGGGAGCGGGTTATTCTTCTGCTCCATCTGCAGTGTTCCAGTGTAGTAGGTTTCCTGTGTCAAGTAAAAGCTATTATGACACTGCAGAGTAGGGTAAGGATAATACCAAAATGATTCAGAGGTGCCAGACTTGCAGTTTCTAAGAAACTAAAACCATGAGGTGAACCAGCAAAATTCATGTCAATTATGAAAGGAAAAACACAAACTTTCTGCACTGCAGGATGTTAACAGAAACAAAGAGACAGGAGTGAACACTCTCAGTCAGTTATCATGTAAAACAACATATCACCCCTTCTTGGGATCAGGGATAAAACAGAAGGAAGGTAGGTTACAACTAACACAAAAAGACTAAACTGCATTTAAAAAGGCAGGGAGAGATCTCAGGATTATATGGATTTTTATGCCTGTTAATTACTCCTGCATCTATTTCTCATCAACATGTTTGGTCCAGGCTGTAGGCAATGAAAGCAGCTTGGTGAGGATGGTGCTACGTACTAGAGGACTCAAGCAAGCAACCCTTAACTGAGTTTGCTTAACACTGAAGCCAGGCTGGGAGCAAGAGAACCATCCCAGGTGACACCCCATCAATGTTAAAATCATGGATTTCCTTTGTGGTTTTAGTGTCTCTGTGATCTGGAATAATTGGGAAAAAAAGAAGAAAAAGACTGTTCCTAAACAAAAGCCACGGAGATGTTCCAAGATTTAAAAGATCCAAATGAATGAGGCTTGTTTCATGGCAGACATTTATGCACATACATCCCACTCTTCTTCAAAAACTCCACGCAAAGGATCAACATCTGGCGACCAGAGTAACTTCAGCAGTGATAGAATCAAAGCACGAGCAAAGAAAAGGTGGAGTGTGTCATCATCTTTGGTAATATGCTTTTAAGCAGTTATTAACTATAATCCAGTACTAATTACATTGATTAGAGAAAGTTTCATTGTTTGCATTAGCAGAATCAAAATCTTGTTAAAGAAACTTAAGAGGAGGTTTTTTCCCTAGCTTTACAGAGGAATAAAAGATCCAAGACATACACTCCCCTACTTTAGTTCTTTGTGTTTATTTAATTCTAACTAAATTTCTCCCTCCACTCTGCCCTTGCCATCTTTTGGGCTTCTGTTTGAGGTATGCACTACACCACAAGAAACAGTTTCAGATTCAAGATCTCAGGCATGCTAGTAGTAGAAAGGTACCGTAATACAACACAAAACCTATAGGCTACAACTTTATAACACAGAAATAGGAGCAGTGTATCTGCTTTGTTCAAAACTCTCACTTGACAAAAATAAAGCCCCCAGATGGGTTGGAGTAGTGTGATGTCCTTTTTATATCCACTCTTTAATCAAAGTGAGTGAATAAGATAAAGTAAAGGCCACAAGGTGAGTACTGTTTCCTTAGGAAACACTTCCTCCTCCAGACCTGTTCCCAGACAGTGGCAGCTCATAGTTTTAAGCAGGGAACAAAATTAAGAAGCTTTTCCTAATTAGTTCATCTGTGCTGCATTAAATTTGTGCTGGAAGGTTCCCAACATGGTCTGCTGCAATTATTAACAATGAATAGGCATCTCATAAAATACTGACACAAATGGCTTTCTGAAGGAAAATTGGCAGGTTTGGCCACACCTCCTGTAATTATAAATGTGAAAAGGTTTTCTGAGGAAAATGGAGGGTTTTAAATGAAAGTCTCAGAGGATGCACTTTGGTTAACATACAGCAACCTGCAAATGAGTCTACCATGAGACGTCCCACCTCCAGTTGAACTATATCAGCTGGGAAAAATTCTGCTGTCCAGACGTTCACGTCTAAAGTCTCATGCAGATGAATACTGGGATTCTTGCCTGAAGTAGGGAAA